AGTTATTCAAACACACCAAAAACACAGACAGTTGCTGGTCACGCTGAAAATCTTGATGTAAGTGTTTTGCACGAGGTCAAAAAAGAAGAAAGCCTACAGCACTGCCTGAGTCTCCTGACACCTCTCCTTATGCCTGGCTGAGGTCCTACAGCACGTGAACTGAGGAACGTCAGAAGAGAGAAAAAAAATCACTACAAAATGCAAGAGGTGTGCACACCGCAGGAGAGAAAGGGAAATAAAGGTGGTAGTGACCAAGTTCGTTAGAGAAAAACAAACCCTATAGCATGCAGTGGAGGCACATAAGAGGCTGGGGGCCATGAGAAAGTCTTTCTGAAGGAAAGAAATATCCAGCCAGGGCTCCCGTCGCTAAATGAGCTCCCTTGGTTAATGAACAGTTTGGCTCTAATCAATATTTGTTTGTGGCATTATCTTTAATTCACTAAGCTCCTTGCTGCTTTTCGCCTTTCCTCTGTGGTTAACCACCTCGCTCTTCCCCTGACTCCCCCAGGGAGTGCAGCGGGACCGGGGCTGGGCGGAGGCTGGGGGATGGTTGGACACGCGGGAGGTGCCGGATGCAGCCGGAGGCAGCAGATGTCACTGGACCAGCCTTTGTTCCCTTGCACTTGCCAGCCTGGGCTTTGGGACCACCTTTTTGTTTTTGTCTCGCCATTGTCATTCATGGAGTGGCTTTTCAGGAGATATCCTCGCACAGCACACGCTCATCCCACTGGCCCAGCCCCAGCCAAACGACTGATTGCCGTCACCCTCTAGTTTCTATTTAGATCACTTTCCAATTAACATTTAAAATACCTTCACGCAGAAAATGCAAAGCACTTACGTCGGTTAGTTTTGTACAGGGCTCATTCATCCAGACGACTTGACTTGCTGCTCCCGGTGGCAGAGCTATTTTTAATCACGTTTAGGAGAAAGCCAGAAGAGCCAGGCTGCCGGTGGCAGGTATGCTCCTGTTCCCTTTTGCCTTGGCTACGGGAGTGCACAGAGACTGCAGCCCCACCAGGGAAGCGGCGCTCCAGCCTCCGCTTAAGCCAAACTGAGTGAGAAACACGGCTACACACTGCATATAGAGTACTACTATATTCACTGCCAGGGAGCATGTTGTTGCTGTCCCCCATTTGACGACTGCAGGGTGGGACTGGGAGAGGTGGAGCGGACGGGGCCGCAGTCAGAGACGGGGTGGAGGGGACATTCTGCCTTCTGTAACGTTAGCTCCGCAGTGGCTAGCCGGCGAATTTAGCACTGTTTGAGAGCTCTGCGGTGTTTGCTCTGGAGGGACCTCGCAGCTGGGGCTTCCCAGTAAAGCTCAGTAAAGCCTGAGCCTTTACAGTTGGCTTGGCCATGAATATTCTCCCTTCAGCTAAACAGTGTTGCCTCTTTCATGTCAGTGCCCTTCTGCACGGTACAGGATGGTGTGGCAGAGGTAAATGCCTTTTTAGCGTTTGATCCGGATTCATCATGCTACTTCCAAGTGGGAGTGAACTCGATCCAAAACTGAATAGTTTCAGCTTTCCTGAACTATTGGGACATTTAAGGCCACATCCATCAAGGCACTGCATGCCTCTGACTCCTAATGCAGTCAGCTGCTACCCAGCAGGACAAGGCCTATAATTCCCAGCAAGAGACAGCTTGACTCTGTAATGACTTACAAATGACACAGAAAACCCCTCCAGCCATTTGCTGCTACCTCTTTGTATATTCTTGCATATATATATATTTTCTTACATACATATATATATATATATATATATAAACTCCCATGTATTGGGCAGACTAAAGCCTATCATCCAATAGTGTATGCTAGAGCCTCAAATAATTTATTTGTTGTCCTTTCCATGAATCTCAAAGTAACAATCTTAATAATCAGCAGAAAACATTCAGACATACAGGCTTAATATGCAAGATAACCAGTAACTACAGTCATGAGTACAAGTGAAAACCTTCACATACTTTCTTACAGACAACTCAGCAACACAGTACTGTAGAAGAGTGCCAATATTTTAGCATGAGGTATTTGGGAGTCCTTTAAGTAGAAGAAAACACACACAGCTAAAGCATCACAAACGAAGAGGCATCTCTTAAATACATCACACTCACCAGAAGCAGTGAGATAACCTTCACATGAGGCCGATTGCAGGGCTATTTTTCACAGCACTTCTAATCCATTCCTATTAAGAATATTTACTTTATTACTGAGGAGGTGATGATTTCACCAAATCCCGAGTTACTTAAGAGGACTGAACTAGCAAAGCCTTCACACACAACATTCACATTTCTGCTGGCCAGGGTTTTGTATGCTTGACAAGAAACACCTCCATACAGGCAGTCAGGTGTGAAAATCATGATTCAGGTCCTCCAACTATATATACTTCAGCATGGCTTGAAGGATATGCAAACACTATGATAACTTTCTGCTCAGAAGTGAATTTTATCCCCTTAGAGCTTGCCAGCTGAGGCCCTGAATGTGGACAAAATGCAGCTTTCTGTATTACAAGAATCTTTGGTATTAGAATATGTAAAACATTCAAAACAAAGTATGATCTTCATGCCACCCTAAAAATCTATGTGTATGTACAATATTAGTGTTTTTTTTTTTTATGTCACATCCTACTTAGTGCTGGGCCTCAAGATTTTACTCACAAGTAAGTGGTTTTACAAATACTCCTTTCAAATTTTTAGCCATGAGAAAAAAACAACATAATTCACAACAAAACATACAAAAATTAGTGCAAATCAATATACATCTTTATAGATATAGTATCTACATGACATAATGAAATGTGCAGGTAACATTTTTCTCATTCTATGCTGTATCTAAAGTGATAACGATAAGGTTGGTAGGCACAAAATAAGTTCCATCTCCCATACTTATGTGCAAAGTCCTTGTTAATCCTAGTTGATCTAGGATATTAAAAAAGAACCTCATCCTCCCAGTAACATCAGACTATCTATCTGGGTTAATCAGCAGACTCCAGCAAGGGCTTCTATTATCCCTGCTGGATGCAACCCACAATCCCATTAACATGGGAAGCACCACACACATGCACAGCCTCCTACGCCCTCCCCACTGCCCTGGGCATTCAGTGATGCAGAGAACGAGCAGAGCACTGGCCTCTGCATCAGTTACGACACTCCCAGCGCTCAGGGGTACTTCAGCACAGGCTTTTTGCCAGGCCTCCACACGAGCTGACATTTTACATTGCCAGTGAATGTCATTGCGTTAAGAATTCTTACCGATTTTGAAAACGTTTTGCAAAATTCAGGGTTCAGACACTTAAGATTTCACAGTGAAATTATTTTTTCCATTGTAATATGCAGAGAAAACTTCATGCAGGGCCAAAGTTTGTTGGTGTGGATGGACAGGATGTCTGCGATGTTCTCCTGAATCCTTCTCCAACATCAGAACAGAACACAAAAGACAGAACAAAACCTGAACTTTCAAGAAAAACATCCCAGAGTAAATCTTCTCACCCATAGCTAAGTGAGTAGCTCTTTCTATAGAAAAAAAAGCATTTTTATGAACAAAGAAAGACCTCCCTTTTGCTAAAGAAATAAAAAAATAAAGTAGAATAAAACAAAAAACAAAAAAACCCCACACAAATCAGTCCTGACTTGGTTACTCAGACAGTGAGAAATGGAGGGTGAAACCTTCTAGTCCTCCCCTTGCAGGATGAGGAGTTGCCACAGGTTGGAGGCAGGAATTTTGTGTGCAGAGTTTTGGGGCTGTGAAGTCCTGGGACTGCCTATCCTACACCTTAAATTGTACCTTAGCAAGAGGGAAGGCTTTTACCCCTTCCTAAATAGCAGTATCGCAGGGCTGATTTTAAAATCTGTGTTCCTTCAGAACTAGTAAATGGTTTATTTTCCACGGCATTCAGGAGCGCCACTGCAACAGCCATCCTACGTAGAGCCAAAAGGAGGAGGCGGAAGAGTCCAGCTTTCCTATCAGGCCTCACAACGAAGGACTGCCTCGCCAGCACTTGCAGTATTTGAACATTTCTAGACCACAGTTACTCAGGAAATCCAGACAGAAGAGCCCCATGGCGGGGTCGTGCCTGCGCCCAGCCTGTGCCAAGCCCACAGTGCAGACCTTCTACCAGAGTGTCTTACTCTTAAGAGACTCATCTAGGAGCATGCTGGTGCTTGGGAATATCTTCAAGTTGGTCCTAGCAAGCAAGTAGGCAGAGAGCCACAGCCTCACGGGCTTAGCAGGGCCCCCAAGGACACTACCACTAGCCAGCACAACGGGCCTGCAGGTATCTCACCACCTCCTGCCCCCTGGGCTAACCAGGATCCACTGGCCCCTGGAAGACTCAGTCCAACTGCTTTGGAGCTCCCCAGGGCCCCTGTAGGGTGGCTCTGCAGCTCAACGAAGGAATTAAATACCCCTAGGCCAGGCTAGCAGTCCATATCTCTGAGGCAGTTCACATTCAGATAGAGATTCGTTAAGAGCTTTGCACGCTGAGGGGAAATAGACTCCATACCTGGTCAGGTGCCCAGATAAAACAAACAAACAGAGGTTAAATCAGCTTTTGGAAATGCACTTGATAAAAATGTCCCTCAAACCAGCTTTGGTACGGACAGCACCGGACAGCCCACAGAGGTGGTGCATGAGAGGCACAGAAACATTCACTGCGGTGATACTCCCACGCAAGGCATCCACAGGAGGCGCAATTCACCCTGCCTGCGCTTCCCTCTTGCGGAGGGGTACAGGAGAGAGGACGGGCTGGGAAGGTCAGTGCATGCTGGAGGCTCGCCCCAGCGTGCAGTCAGGATCCCCAAAGTAGAGATAAACTGTTGGCCCCTGTGCTGAGAAATACGCGCAGGGTCCAGAGACCAGGCCTACCCAAGGGGGTGCTTGAGCCCCATGCCGCCGCGAGGGTGAACGTCACCTCCTGCGGCGTGTACACAAACACACACAAACTCATGCGCATACACAGATACACACACGAAGCTGGTCCACGATCTGCCTGACGGGCTCGGGGCTAACGAGCGGCGTGATACTGCATGTGGAAGTGCAACTCCTCCTGCTCCAGGAAGTGCTGGCCGCACACGGAGCAAGTGCAGCCCTTGTCCTTACTGTGCGTGCGCCTGACGTGGCTGTCGTGGGCCGCGTGCGAGGCGAAGGCTTTGCCGCAGTGTTTGCACTTGAAGGGCTTCTCTCCCGAGTGCTGGCGGATGTGAGTGCGCAGGATGCTCGACGCGGTGAACGCCTGAAATGGCAGGGACCGGGCAGGGAAGGAGGCGGTTTAATGTACTCTATTTTCACATGTGCAGCCCACAGTTTCCAGTAACCCACACCCTTCAGAAGGGCTATTCCTTGAAAATAAGTCCTCAAATAATTCACACCCTCAGCTAATCAGAGCAAACCAGAAACTAGTAGCAATGAGGAACCAGAAGCCAAGAGCTATCACTCTCCGCTCTGCAGCCATGGCTGAGTCCCTGGAGTTATATAGAATTCAGAGAAAGATTTCTGATCAGAGACACCGGCAAATATCCTCACATGTCAAAGAATAAGAAGTAAAGTCAATACTGTCCTACTTATCCTTGTATTTCCTGCATGTTGGGGAAAGACGATGCAGGTTCCTGCCTTGCAGTTTTTATTTGGAAAGTTAAACTCCTTCATGCTCACATGTACTGGCTTGGAATTCAGGGGGTCAGAATTCATTCATGCAACCCCGCATGCCTCCATCTTTCCGTGTTTCATTTCCCCCCTCCATCGTACACTACTCTTCTTTAGTCAGACCTTGCAGTCTTTTCTCTCTCCCCTCACTTGAGTAGCAAACTCCTCCTACATTTTGGGAGGAAATCCTCTCAATGATATTTGAGCGAGAATGTTGTAAAATAGCCCATGTTTTCCCCTGTTTTTCCTTTTCCTGGGAGAGATACCTTTAGGGCCCCTTTACTATTTGCAGACGTCACAGAAATACTCTGGCCACTGCCCCTACTTCCATCAGCAGTCTGGAGAAAACGCCATGCTAGAACCTGAAATTGCTATATACTGGTCAGGCAGTGGGAGTTTTTATCCACAAACCCTCTTTAGTACCACTGTGTTGCTGAACCATCACAAATAAGTTTTCAAAGCAGATAGCAACAAATCTCAGATACATTTTCACTAGGAACCTTAGAGCACAAACAGATCTGTAATTCCTACAGAAAAGTCCCCAGAAGATGTATGTCAAAGGGACAGAAGGACAGAGGTTCAAGGGATAGAAGCACTTGTGGGGTGATCCTGGCCCAACACTTCTCCCTCAGCTGCATCTAGGTGAGCAAACTGCACCCAGGTGAGCAAAGGGGCAGGGAAAGCAAGGTTGCTTTGGCATAGCCACCATAAGTAGGAGAGGCAAAGAGGAAAGACCACCCTGCAGGAGGAGCAGCTGAGAGTATTATAAAACAGCCTCTGGTTTTCCAGCTCCAGAAATGGATGGCTATGTCCTAGGATAACCTCATCCTGCGACCTGAGAAACGACAAATAAAATCTGAGCTGCAAAAGACCCACCAGAGCTACCAGGGCCTGGACAGAAGTGTGACATGTCCTAGCGAGATCTCTTCACAGAGGAACCTGCAAAGCTCTGTGATCTGTTCCTGTGATCAGAAGATTAAAGGTTGACATTTCACCCTAAACTCTGCCTACAAGCCTTTAGGAAGTCTGTGGAAAAATAATATCCCAGAGGAGCTTCTTCTAAGGTTCTTTAGTAGAGGACACTTCAACTATGTGTCGGAACAGCCATAAACAAAACATCTCTCCCTTCTGAATCAGGAACACCTCAGTACCTGCCGTTGGCACTGCTGCCTCGCACGGACAGAAAGGGTGGACCGTTGCAGCTGGAGCCCTACCTGCACTTGCCTGACAGCAGGCTGCACATCTGCCGTCTGTCTGTTCATAGGGCAGGGATCACTGCTCCCTCAGGGAAAGCAAGGTCACCTGAATCATCCTCGAGCCACCCCTCCTGTGAAGAGTAGGAGCAGCTGAGCCAATTTTTGATCAGTCCTGTATGGCTTATTGCAGTACCACGCACATAAATCACTCCGTTACTTCAAGGTAAGCAAGCAGAGTCATGTCTTAGGGGTTCAGCTCATGGGCCAAATCTGTTCACCTCACTCAAGAAAGGAGCGGGAGCAAGCTCAAAGACTCTGGGGAAAAGGACAATACTACACCTAGCTGAGTACCTAGCATAGTATTTGAGATGCTCTCGAACAGTCGTAGATCTTATCCTTGCAACAGCTCTCTGAGGTGTGTCCAGCAGCCCTGGAGGCAGAGACCTGCTCTGTTTCTTCAGTCCCAGCCATTTCTGATACTCCCTATCGCTTCCACTTTCCTTCCTTTCCCCCTCTGCAACTCACAACTGCAGCCCGAATATGTGTGCGCTCATCTGGATATCAGCTTAAATAGAAAGTCCCATTTTGTGTCCTTTTCTCTTGAGCACTTCATCAAGAAAAACAAAATAAACAGGAGCATGAAGAAAACCACCACCGCCGGGTGCGGTGCAATACCGAACGCAGCAGAGGATAGACAGAGCGACAGGCCGGGGCACTGGCCGCAGCCTGGGTTTTCCCTTACCTTGTTGCAGTATACACATTTGTAGGGGCGCTCGCCAGAGTGAACCCGCATGTGCTTGTTCAGGCTGGAGGACTGAGAAAAGCTCTTCCCGCATACTGAGCACTGGAAAAATGTAATTAAATAAGTAAAATGAAAAGTTAACAGGAAGCACGTAACAGCATAGCTGAAAAAAATGTTAGGAAGTGTGCCAGTATCTCGCTACATATATTTATATACAAACACAGCAGTAATTTAAGTAGCAAATTTATTTAACAGCTAGAATTGCAATGCACTTTTAAGAACAGATTAAAAAAAAAGAAAAATCGTGCAAAATTCCAAAACATTTTTTGTGTCTGATTCGAAAAGGTTTCATCAAAAACTGTCCTACAAAATCACCATCTTTCTCCAAAATGTAATAACATAAATAATGCTTCAGTTACTATTTTGATTTTTTTAGTCAACAAATAAAATATTTGTTGACTAAAGAATATTTGTCAAGGGGACCTCAAAATAATCATCATTTTTCAGAAACGGTCAGTCACAGCACGTCGCCTCCCGCTTGATCTTTCAGAAATGCCTCCCCTTAGATGAGTGAAACATGCACCACTTCATCTTCTGCCAGAACAAGGTGCCACCTGCATCATGTGGTTCATGTCCCGTAGCTGTCAGTGACAGAATAAAATCCAGTTCCAGGAGTGCTGAAGTCATTTGAGAGACTTGCACTGACTTCAGTAAAATTTGTATGAGGCCATAAATCATTTTCCTCCTGCGATGCCTTTGAAAGAAATCCTCACTCATAAGTTTGAAAGATACTAAGCCATGACTGATTTTGAAAGATAATTTACTGACACATTTTCCGTCTTTGTTTTTTGCATTCATCTATTCTCATTCAAATGCACTATCTATTCAGAATAAGCTTCTCTCCCGGCTGTTTCAAAATATTTATTTTGCATGCATTCCAAAATAAATGCTTTGTGAAAGAAAGAAGGAAAGAGAGAATGAAGGAGAGAAAGAATTACATATTTCAAACCTCATTTTTAATAGAATGACATTTTAAATCTCTATTAGTAAATCAAAGTGATATTCTGACATTGCAATATTGCCAATTTAGTTGTAACACCAGGGGTGATTTAACAAGCCCGGTAACTTCCCCTTGCCTGAGCCTTTGGGAGAAGTCTGATTTTCCCTTTCTAGCGCTGCTGGAGGAAAGCAGTGTTACAAAGAGACGTTTGGTGGAGACGAGGCAAATGTCTCAGCAAGGATTTGCCCCCACCAAATGAAAACTTGCTCCATGTCGAACGTAAAATTTGGCTCCTGTTGTGCCCAGCAGACAGAGCTGTCTGCCGGTTGCCCGGGT